AGGAAGTCAGGAAAACTAAGCATTTTGCTTTCTGATTAAACCAAATTTAAAAAACACTCAACTCACTGTATTAATTTTCCTTTGGTTATAGGCACAGATATTGACCCAAGCCAGTTCAATTCTGAGACAGAAGCAAAGTCCTCAATGATTCTTTCTCAACTTTTCTGTGAATATCTAAGAAACTTAACTATATTGAAGAGGAGAAATGCATGGGGGTAAACTGTCTTTAAAGAAAAGGAAAAGTGAGGGGTTTCTGTTGTTATTTTGGTTTTTTATTAAAATGGAAATTTCTAGTCATTCTGTGAACCTTGGTGAAGCTCAATGAACCAAAGGTCCGAGGTAGCAAGCCATGAAGGCCTAGAGGAAGAGCATTATAAGAAAAAGAATAGCATGTACAGCCTTTGGATAAAGAAGAATTGTGATTTACTTGAGGAATAACAAGGTTAGCCTGTCAAAATAGTGCATCGATAGGGAAAATGGTAAGAAAGCATGGCAGAGAATGAAAGAGAGCAGAGGTAGACAGAGGCCAGACCACTGGAACCTGTAGTTAGCAATAAATGACAATTCATACTCCTTAGGAGCATGTATAAAGGCCTTTTGTGATGGTTATATTTCATACTTGATATTGAACTCACCTCCTATAGTGTAAATTCTTTGACTTAAGTGTCCAGGATCTTTGGTGGTTCAGTCTGCAATCTTAGTACCTGATCCCTATTATCTGATTTGCTAGGACTCTGGATATCTTTCTAGCATGACACAGACTAGTAAGATTTTATGTTGATCTTAGAACTAATCACAGACTATTACAATAATGACTTCATAGAATTTTTTTTTTGGCGGTACTGGGGTTTGAACTCAGGGCCTCCTTCTTGCTAGGCAGGCGCTCTTACCACTTGAGCCAAATCAGCCTGATTTGTGAAGAATCAGAGTAGCATTATTTTCTTTTTTGAAAGGGTAATTAGACTGGTAGGTGAGGAAAATTCATTGGTTGAATTAGCTCCTCCATGTGCTACCAAGGCATCTGATAAGGTTACTTATAACTTTGAGTGAAACACTAACCTATGAGTTATATTCTATTAGGGGATTTAATTAAGGGAGTCTGGTTAAAAAATCTCAAGACACTCATACGATTCTGAATAATGGATCTGGGGGGGGTCCATGTAATGTAGTGGTTCTCAAGTTTTATCATGCTCCAAAGGATCTAATCAAACAAATTGCTAAGCCTCTGGGGTCCCCAAACAGCAACTGGGATCTAGGAATCTTCATTTCTAACAAGTTCCCAGGTGATGCTATTGCTACTTACCTAGGGACCATGCTTTCTGTTTTGTTGTTTTATTTTGTTTGAACTCAGGGCCTCATGCTTGCTAAGAGGAACCATGTTTTCAGGGCCACCAATATACTGCATATCAGGATATTAATAACAGGTTTCATCAACATTCTGCCAACGCAAACATGATTACAAATCTATAGATGATACTAGCTTGTGATATAAAAACATCTCAATTGGCTAGTTACAGGACAAATCTTAAAAATATAATTAGGAGCTGAACGTCAGCGGCTCATGCCTGAGATCCTAGCTACTCAGGAAGTGGAGATCAGGAGGATTGCAGTTTGAAGCCAGCCTGGGCAAATAGTCCATGAGACACTATCTCAAAAAAACCTATCCAAAAAAAAAAAAAAAAAGCTCAAGGTGTAGGGCCTGACTTCAAGCCCTAGTACCACAAAATTAATTAAACAAATAAATAATATTAGGGATTATCTTAAAATCCTAAACGAAAAACCAATCATGCAAATATAAGATTAGGAAAACAAAACTTAGCGATCACAAAAAAAGGTGTGGAGGAAATAACAGATTTTAGAACACTTTAGTTTCCATTATTTGAGAGTATATTTTCTGACCACCAAAAATGTCTTAACACTTTGGGCTTTATTAATAAAAGTACAGAGTATAGAACAATGTATTTGATAGCCCAACTACATATTATACTGGTTTCCCTACATTTGGGTATCAGACATTGACACTGAGCAGATTATTATTAAACCAGTTTGTAGAAGATTCAGCATATATAAGAGAAGTTTTCAGTGTAATTGTCTTATAGGTGAGGTTTGCTTTCTTCTGTATGACCCTAAGCAGAAATATCACAAATAGTTGTCAGGCTGCTTCCCATACACAGGTGACAACTGAGGAGAGGAGAGGAGGGAAAGAGCTAAAATTTAGTGTACAGTTTACTTGACAAGTCATGTGCCATGTAGGAGTTGAGTCCAGCTGGGAAAAGGGTAAACTTTCTCTAGTGCATATAAAGAAAACAGCTCTTTTGCTTTTTTCCTTTTGGTGAGAACACCTTTACTGATTTGCAAGAAGTCACAACATAAACTAGTGGTGACTATGCAATAAGGTAGGTTCACTAAATGAAGTTCAGAAAGAAAGTAGTTTCAGCTCAATGTAATCTATTGATAGGTTATCATAGGAAATGTATCATATAGAAATATTTTCTGAAGAGAAGTTAATCCCCCAAATTGGGTGTTCAAGGAACACCTAAACAACTACACAGCAGTTATTTTAGAGATGACTTCAGAGTGGAGGAGTATATGAGTGGAGTGTGTGTATTATTACAAGTGTGTGTGGTGTGCGGTGTAGGGGCGGAGGGACAGACCACAATGATCCTTTAATTTCTAGGATTCTTCATCTAAGCTACCTGTTTATATTCTCCTCCATATCCTAGTTGATTTCCATGGTACCCAGACTCCTTTTCATCACAAATTTACTAAGCATTCTAGTCTTCCTCCTAACTAGCCAATTTCCTTTTGTCTCCCTTTATTCTCCTTTCCTTGTCTCAATATACAGAAAGCATGCTTACCTTACTATGTTAATACTGAAAATTAACTCATATTTTAAAACCACTTTCTTCTAGATTTAAAAAATGTTTAAAATAGGATGAAGACTTATTTAAAAATTTTTCTTAACATATTTGTTAGAGAAAATTATTTCATTTTTACATTATATATATACACACGCACACACATATATATATGCATATTATATATCGCTGAAAGTGATGTCAGCACTTTAAAAAGAGCCTTCATTAACTGTACCTAAAGGATTGACTGAAAGTGGAAACCATCCTATGGCAGGATAGTGAGGCACAGAGTTGAGGGTATTATGTGCCTTTCTCTAAGTATAGTTAAGCTAGCCCTTCACGGAAAAGTAAGAGAACAGACAGAAGACTGAGAACACCTAAAGCTGCCAAAACAAGCAGCAGTTTCTATCATTGGGCAATAAATCTAACAGAGAAGAAACAACCAAATGCCAACAATTATTCTGAAGCTACATTAAAGGTGTAATGATGCAAAATTGCCTCAAACAATATTCATATAAAATATTTATGTAATCAATGCCATACTTGAATTATCTTATAAGACAACTTTTTAAAACTTGAATGATCTCATAAGACAACTTTTAAAACAAACTTTAAGAACCAGTTTAACACCCACGCACAGGAAATCAATGTGAGTCAATGCCCTGTAGCTATCCTTATCTCAACCAGCAAAAACCCTTGTTCCTTCCTATTATTGCTTATACTCTCTCTACAACAAAATTAGAAATAAGGGCAAAATAGTTTCTGCTGGGTATTGAGGGGGGAGAGAGGGAGGGGCGGAGTGGGTGGTAAGGGAGGGGGTGGGGGCAGGGGGGAGAAATGAACCAAGCCTTGTATGCACATATGAATAATAAAAGAAAAAAAAAAAACAACCAGTTTAAGCTGGGGTGCAGCTCAGCAGTAGAGCTTGTGCACCAGGACTTGGGTTTTAATTCCTAGCATGGAAGGAAGGAAGGAGGGAGGAGGGAGGGACGAAGAAGGGAGGAGAGAGAAATGAGGGCGGGAAGGCAGGAGGGAAGGAAGAAAGAGAAAGAAAAAGATAAAAGAAAGAAGTTTCAAATTATTTCTGGAATAAAAATAACAATTGGTATAAGCTTAGAAACTTGTTAAAAATGATTTTGGCAGAAAATATTTTTATAAATACAAAATAAGTATTCATAAATGGTAAGTTTTATTTTGAGAAAGATAAGTTTCTTGGTTAGAAAAAATTAGAATCACTTTCTAGGAAAAAAGAATGAATTTTATTTTTTTCCTAAAAGGACACATTATATACAATGGACACACAGATATTTGACATTTGTTAGAGAAAAACAGTGTTACTCCTGCTTCAATTGACTGTTGGTACATTTAATTTTTAAATATCTTTTACAAAGAATATATTATTGCAAATTTTTCCTCAAATATATTATAATCCTTCTTGTGCCCACTGCTTTTCAATTTGTCAACACAGGTGCCTGACCAATTGTCAACCAGACAATTCATTTGAAAGCACTGCTTGAAAATTTCTTGTGTACTCATGTTCTGTAGTTAAGAGTTATAATTTAAGGGCTGACAAATCCATATTCAGGAGCACTTATAAGAAGGCTAGTAACACAAATAATCGAATTAACACATCCAGCTTTGAAAGGGGTTAGCTAGTGTGGATATTATGGAATATGCAACTCATGTTACCTAAACAAAATAAAGTGAAAAATAATGACGACTACCAAGGCTTGAGAAATCTTTGGGAAAGAAAAACAAAAACTGAGAAGCTTCATTTGGTATGCAGCGTAAGATTAAGATTATCCTTTTACCAGGTATCTAAACGTTACTCAGAAAAAGTAATCATTTCTTGCAAGAAGGCAAGAATGACCAAAGTAAGAAATAATGGGGAAACTGTATCATTTTTTAAAATTATCCCAATCTGGATTACCACTTTAGTGTCTCTCTCTAGAAGCCTTGAATGTGAGCTGAGATATTTTTCTCTTCCTGTAAAGAAGTGGTCCTATTCTTAAGGCTGCTCAAAGTTTAGTTCAATAAGGTCTTCTCCCCCTTTTTGAGCTATCCTACTGCATATGATTTTTTTCATATAACTTAAATACAGAGTCCTAGAAATTCATGAAAGTTAACCAATATAGTACTTACATTCACACTGAATGACATCTAAGTTAAATTGCTGCACAGCTCCCATGCTTATCTGTTTTAACTCACTGTCCAGTAGCATCTGCATTAAGGATGTTGACAGATGCTGGCAGGCTGACATGCAAGCTGTCTGGGCAACTTTCCCCTGTTCAAAACAACCAAACCAAAAAACCAAATAAGCAAGCACAGAAAAAACACCATAAAATACTACAAAAATTATATAGCTGGCATTCTTTTTGTTAATACGATAGTGATTACTGGCTTTTCTGTTTTTGTATTCTGAGTGGCTATGCCTTCGTATCATAGGAATTAAAGCTCATCTTTCTCAGATATAGTATTATTAAAGCTTCAACTGCCCAAAAGAAAATTAAAATACAAGTTTTAAAAACACAATTATTACAGATCTCTTGAAATACCGCAAATAGTTTTTAAAATGCACATTAAAAATATTACATTTACATGGTACATGCCTGTAATCCCAGCCCCTGGGAGGTGAAGGCAGGAAAATCATGAGTTTGAGGCCAGCCTGGGCTACATAGAAAGATCCTGCCTCAAAAACCCTTAATCTGATATGATATGATGCATAACATATTTATGACATAAAATTACTGCCATATTGACAAAATATTTTATCCATATAATGCTTTCTAAGCTCTCCTTTATACATTTAAGACAGAATAAAGGAAGTTAATAACTTAAAGTGTAATTTAATTTACAATTACTATTTAAACTGTACCTAAAGGTCAAAATATACTTTGAGTTATAAGTCTTTAACTTCTACTCAAAATGTTAGTATGTGGCATAGCTTCAATCACTGGTGAGGGACGAGGAGTGAAATCTTATCACCTACATGACTTCAAGTCCATCTGTATTCAATCAAATTCTTGCTATATTTAGTTTTAGAAATTTAGAAATGTGGTAATTTAGAAATATGTAGTTAAGTAAACTATAAACACTTATGGTTTTCTTTCCCTATGATATACAACATTACTTAAATATCAACTTTCACTGATAGCTTTGTTTTCTTAAAAATAAAAAATTTTTAAATGCTTAGCCTCTAGATTACACAGCTGAATCACAATACTATATCACTTTTACTATAAATTATTTTTCTAATCAGGCTTTGTATTTGAAGTTTAAGATAAAATATTAAAAGTCTTTTAGGTAAAATTTTCTAGTATAATATTGCTCCTACATTGGCTACCTTCAATAATAATTATGTGATTTGATGATGGGCTGATTCCCATAGTAGGACTCAAAGGTCTATGGACATGGTTAGAAATGACTCTTGGACGACATCCCATGTTTTGCCTTATTTCCATTTACTTATGTTTTTTCCTACTCACCACAAAGACCAGTAAAGCTACAAAGCCACGAAAAGTATCTCCCAAACATAAATGCTGTAATTTACTAGTACAAAAACATTTATGTAGAGTTGATTTGAAAGGTAATAAAGAACATATATTTTCATAACATTTATTAAAATATATGTTCTTAATTACACACTAAAAATCAGACTAGAACCAAGCAACTTTTACAAATGTGTCTTTAGCATTAGACACTATGCACAGAGGAAAATTAAACATCTGAAATGGAATGTTAATTTCTCAATCAAAAACTTTAGAGATAAAAGCCAATGAAAACAATAAATTTGACAGATACTGATGAACTGCCAAAAAGGAATGTAGCAAACAATGAAAACCCAGCATGCTTCAAGATCCCCTAAACCCATGAGGAATTAGACTGGGAGGCATGCAGCTCCAGTCCCCAAGCAGAATAATACCAATATGAATTGGAGGGGGAATAAAAGCATAAAAAGAAGAAATCAATGGCACATCATTTAATTACAATGTAATAGGCTTGCAAATACTTCACGGAAATGCCATTTTGATTTAATGGAACAGCTAGTGCATTTTAGTTTAATGTACTTCTCCATCAAATCAGTTCCATGTCCTATTTACGTTGCTACTAAAATGTACTAATTGCAAAAGCGAATTAATTGCCAAAAATTATTAAATTCATTTCATAAACACACACACACACACTGCAAAATACAAGTGATGTTGTTTTAAAGAAACTTAAAAGGTAACATGGGTTCAAAAACTATAAATAACTATACAGCAATAGCACTGGAGCTTTTTAAAAACAATGACGAGCACAGGTGAGTCTAGTCCATAAATCTTGTAGAAAAATGTAAATACATACACGAACATAGCTCTTTTATCTAAATAATATATGTAACAATAAAATGCTAATATTACATTTCTTTTGGTTAAGCATATTATAGACTTACTGTTTTCAAAGATAGAACTTTTAAATACATGCTATTTTATAAATTTTTCAAATGAAGTAACTTCTTCCTTTTTATACACCAAAATTTAAGTTAATGCTATCAAACATTTAGATACTTCAATTTTTAAGTTATATTCTGTAAGACTATATGCCATTTTTAAATGTCTAATATCTGCCTGCAGAATGTAAAAAACCATTCTTAAATGTCACATAGGACAAATTTAATGTGTCCAAAGTTTGTACACCCAAAAAGTGTATCTGTAATTTATTTCAAATGCCTGTGGTCCTTAGCACATTTTGCTATTAACAAATAGCCCTATCTGAAGAATATTATTGGTATCATTATTGATGCTCTTAATAATGTATCATTTCCTAAAAGAAAAATAATCTAAGTACTTTAAAAACCATCTTTAAAAACTAGACCTCTCATGAGATACATTTTTAACATAACAAAGCCAAAATAATTAAGTGACAGAAAACATTGCACATTTAATAAATTTTAAGCACCCAAACATTTCTCCTCCCTTCATCTGAAAAATTAATTGCAACAATTATTAACATTTTCTTTTTAATAGCACAAAATTCAAAAAACACCTGCTAAACTTTTAAAGATAACTAACTTTTTGCCCTGCTTTAACATTTTGCTGAAAAACAACTTGCAAAGAGAGAAAACCCTTAGACAAACTTCTTATATTTCAAAGGAACTTGTAAAAGAGAATCTGCTGACATATTAGATCCTTTTTGCATTACCCAAAAGCTTTTCTTCTAAGAACAATTGTGGTAAAGAGACATTTGGCTCCTAGGAAATTCCCAAAGGGTCAACCATATGCATCCTTCCATGGCACCTTCACAGCACTGCTTTCTAGATTCATGTCTCAAAAGCAGCTTTCATCATTTACTTGTGTGTCAGTCAATATGATTTATGGACTGCATTCAACAAAGTCAAAGCATATAGAATGAGAAATATGACTACAATCTGCTAATTTGTTTTGTATTGAGGCATTTAAGAGTCAAAGACCTGATGTCAGACTGAGACCAGCAACACAATTAACTAGCCGGTGACAGATTCATCCATCCTCCCTGCCAGGCTCTGCCAATCAAAGACAGCATGAGGTGACATTTGGTGAAGTCAGTAAGAAAACTCATTCTCTAAGTAACCTATGTGAAACTTTGATTGACACTTTTTGAATTTAGTTTGTGGAACATAGCCACTCTTTACCCAATAGCCCCTCACTGCAAGCTGTGAAATAAGGCTTTTAATGCCAATCACAGGAACAATAAACCACTAACCAGCAACCTCAGTCTAAAAGGAATTAAAAAAAAAAAAGCATCTGTTTATATGTCACACCAAATTTCCAAAAAAATTTACTATTATAGATTAGGCTAAAGACACTGTTTCCTTTTGAAATATTATAAAATAGCATGGTAATAAAAATGTAACACATTTTACTAATATTATGGCTCAAATTATTTTGCTTTCCAGCAATGTTTTCATAAATCTATTCTAATACAATAGTGGGAGAAATGTTCAATGCTCAAAAACTATTTTGGCAGCTTAAATTTTAATTCTCTTATTTTAAAGATTACCATTCTCTTATTTTAAATATCTAATTTTTAAAAAGTTTGATTTCACCCATATTTATTTGAAAGCATTTTTCAAGCTGCTTTCATTCTCTCAAGTATGTCTGATGCAAAAGTGTGCTCTTGAAATCATGACTATTCTTTCTGTATTGGTCTATTTTTCCTTAATGATCCCAGAAGGGTCCATTTTCCTTTATTTATATCCCCATAAAATAACAACTTTGCAAAATGAACATTGTAAGAAATACATAGCTATAAATATATTGTGCATGTATTATTCTTTAAATTGATAACATGTTTTGTTTTAAAAGGTTTCCTTGTCAGGAAAAAAATGGAAAGTCATACTCAATTTGAATATTATGTTAAACCTAACATTGGGAAGTGAACATATTAATTCTGATCCTGCTTTTTAAAGTTATTTAAATTAAAGGGTAAATTGCTATTTTATACAAACCCATTGCCTCTCAGTGTGGTACACAAATTTCAGTTATGAGACTGTGAAATAGTCTCTTCAGAGGGAAAAGAGGAAGGGAAGCATTTTGATGAATTGGTCAGTCTCCTAAGGAGTCACAATGTATAACTTATTAGCAGATACAGACTGAAAGAATGAAGTCTTTCACCAAATAAGAGTAAACAATAAAATTAGAAATAAAAATTGTTGACTGAAATATAAACTATATGAATATATGGTTTAAAAGCAGACATTTTAGTTCAAGAAAACTATTATTCTTCCATGTCTATTATATATAAGAACCACTAATCTAAAGTTTTACTATATGACACATCTTGTTTAGATGTCAAAATGTTATTGTATCAGAAAAGCTACAACTTTAGAATAGAACATGAAAATTTTTTCAAGACAATTTCACAAATGCACAGGGATACCTTTACCTAGTAAGATAAGTTTAATGTTTTCTAACTGAACACTCTATATAGCACTGAAATGACTCAAATTCCCAATATGAATAGATGAGTTATAAAGGTTTAAATATCAAGATGAATTCCTTTAGTGAGTTTTAATAATAACCTTAATACTAACTTGAAGACAGATTTTTGAGGTTTGGCCAAAAATTTCATAGGTCTATCAAAATATACTCACTCTAAATACCTTTTCTTCATTTCTATTTTTCTCTTATACTTGTTTTCTGTCCTCAAATAGCTATTCCTATCCCTGAAAGAAATGGCTACCAGATCTGTTAACCACAATCCCCATAATCAGCTACACATCCACATTCTCCCTTCTTAGGCATTTTTTTTTCTGTTTCTAACAATTTTCAATCACAAGGATGTGACACATGAGACAGTAACGTAAATGTTTTCTCTGGGGTGGAGTGGGGGGAGAAATGGATGAGAATGAATGAATAAATACAATATGATTATCTTGAAGTTGAAACAAAAATTTTTCCTAAAGCAAGGAAACTTCAGGACTAC